CTACTGACAGCATCAGTGTCAGCCGTCGGGGGGGGGCACCGGCCCCAACAGAGGGGGCATGTGCACCCCTGCGCACCCCCTAGCAGTCACCTATGCACTGGGCTCAGTTCTGATAATTGCCTGTATGCTGCTCTTTTTGAGCAAGATAGTCATAAATGCAGCAGATTCAGCTATTGGAGCGTGTGTCCATACTTGCACCATACTCAGATCTTTCTCATCCCCCCCCGTCACCACACATCAAAGTGGACATAAATGTGAAAAAGAGACTAGAACCTCTGGAAAATCCCTTGTTGCCAGAACAGCTTCTGGGAACTGCGGACAGCAAGGAGTAAAATAAAGCAGCCTAGAGGTTCCTCTACTTGACACCATAACCTTAGCTAGGAGCCAAAGGCATGGCACTACAAGTTTAGTATGTGAGGTCCAATCATTCCCTTGTCCAGAAAAAATTGCAAGTGAAGAAAGTGATTCCCCATAAACTCTAACATTCTTGTCCCTGTTTGCTCCACCATTTCCCGAGTGCAAGGTGAAGGACAGGAGAAATAGTCTGAGTCTGTGAGAGGGAACAGGACCTCAACTATGCATATCCTAAATGGATCCATGGAGTGGAAGACTCCTCACACACCCTGCAGCCCCTTCCTGTCCCACAATAATACAGCTTGCTCTTATGCTATGTTACCACTGCCTCATCCAGAGAACTTGGTCTTGCACTCATTCCAACCAGTAGAAAGCTTTGGACAGATTTCAGCTGGCACTGGATCAGGAGCTATCATGTAGGGATCAGGGTTACCCTGGGGAAGTTAAGCTTGTCTGACTGGCACTGATATCCATGACAAGCTGCTACAGGTATTAGACCACATACACAAACCACATCCTTAGGTTTAAAAAAAGTAAACTGGCATGGTTTATGTAAGTACCCCAAGTAAAATAAGCGACATTGGCAAAAGCATGTTTACAGCAGTTTAACTGTGTCTGCACAGGAGCTTTTGCCAAGCATAGAAAAAAAAAAATCACCCTCTCCCAACATTACTGCACCAGCAAAAGTTTCCAATAGCAGAGCTGACCTGAACATTCTGTATACCTGCACCCATTTTCAAATGTGGGGTCTAATTCTCATTCACATCAATGCATATGATATAACTTTGCTGGTGCAGAGGGATTAAGAAGTCTACAAAAATGTAGATCTACATTCAGGCCCTATTCTGCTCCTTGAAGAGGTTTGAGGATGCATAAGAGTCAGCCCTCAATTTTTTTCATTCTTCTAATTTAGGATTGCCTGTTTTTTTCTTTAAGATTTTAAAATATTTATTTACTGCCATCTGCCAAAGGTGCAGCCACATAGTGTCAAACAAGGCAACCATAAAGGAGTGTATATAACTGCCAGGATGCAATAGTATTGCAGGAGAAACACCAGGAGGGAGTGTAAACTCATCATGAGATTGCAGAGTTCCCCCCACACCATGGGAGACATTCAGGATCTCAGAGGTGAGCTTGCACTGCATGATAAAGTTAAAACAGAGAAACTGGGTGGGAGGGAGGGAGAGAGAGATTACATCTTCAAGAGGAGGGATTAAGAGAATGAGGAGCACACAGGGTCACAAAAGAAACAAAAAGAAAGGAAGTTGGTACATTAGAGACCACTATAGGCTGTGGGAGGAAAAGGGAATGAGAAGTCCAGAATGAGGCACAAAGGTGAAGCTACTGGTAACTTTCTATCAGTTGTTTCACACCTCCAGTACAAAGCAATACTGATTTACTGTTTTAGGAATGTAGGAACTATTTGGGCATAATTTTAAAATTAAATATTTTCATTTTCAAGTTTCTTTTTTAAGTGATGCCATCAGAAAGTGTTCCGTTATTTGCAGCCCAAAGTCCTTCTTCTTAACATTATCCCCTTATCTCTAGTTATCGTAAATGCGTCCCAGCTGGCTGCATGGACCAATGTAACCAGGACAACTCTATCCCGTAGTAAAATCCTGCCCCCCTGGTATTCAGTAGGACTTTTGTTCTTAAATTCAATGAGGCAACAGGTTCATCCTTTGATATTACACTTTCTGATGCTAAGTAGTAGACCAATGTTTGTCGTTCCTTAGTTATTGCTTAGCTAAGTTATATGGGGACATTTTTTGCAAGTGTCTTAGGCTTTGTCTTTCCAAAAAAAAAAGTGTGTGTGTGTGCGCGCGCGCGCGCACGCGTGATGGGTAATCACCATGCAGTAAAATCCTAGATTGTAATTTTCATGTGTTAGGGATCAAATTAAACTCTAGGAAGTCAGCACACATAGGCAAGCTGCAAAGGGATTTGCCCACGCTATGATTTTATTGTGTGTTAGTTACCATTTGAAATACCTTTTTCTTACCGTGTATGTACCACCAGGCTGCATATAGACATTCAGGGAGGTTAGGGGGAGGTTAGATTGAGTTAAAAATGGCCACCAGATCTAAGGTAAGATGGGTGGGCTACTGGTGGGGTTGGGGAGTCTGTGGGGGAATCAGGGGAGCAGACATGGTCCACAGGGGAGATCAGGGGACAGGCTGGGTCCATGGGAGGGACTGGGGGGATTGGAGGGGACAGGAGGCATCTGTGGTAGGGACTGGGAGGCAGGTGGGGTCCATGGAAGGGCTGGAGGGGCTGGGAGCTCTCCTCCCCACCTCCCAGGACCAGGGGCTATTTTTAGCCCTCTGATTCCCAGACAAAACACCCTACTGCCCCTCTCTCCCACCCTGACTTACTTGCTCAGCTCCTGGCACCGGTGAATGCCAGTAAAACCAGCACTGGGAGTGGATTGTGGGATGGGAGGTTTAGTGCACTGGTGTAGGTGGTGCGAGGGAGGGCAGAGGGACTAAAAATAGTTTGATGCCAGGGAAGGGGTAGGAAAAGTGCAGCAGCTGCGGCCAGCGATTGGGCTTTCTCAGCCCTGGGGCTATGCTGGGAACTGTGCAGAAATTCAGAACAGTTAGATTGGTTTAAAAATGGCCAACCTGAACTAAGCTGAGTGTGCCTCAAAGGTAGGATTCATTTAAAAAGGGTTGATGATTTTTACACCAATCTGTCCTGAACTTCTGTACAATTTGCACCTAGATCCATCTAAGTAGCACAAGGCACACACCCAGACAAACTGAGTTAGATTGGGGGGCCATTTTTAATCTTATCTAACCTTCCCATAACCTACCCAAGTGTCTATATGGAGCCACAGTGATATGGGGGCCTGCCTCCATTTTCAGAAGTCCCTAAGTCACTTGAGGAAAAAGTCCCTTTGGGATTATCTTAGTTATACCTCCTACTGCAGCTCATTTCCTCCAAGCCCTTATTACTTTTCTTACTTTTTTGGGAACTCCCTTCATTTTTATCCATCTTGTGCACATATGTCATTAAAAACAGGCTGTAAAACCATTCCTGAGCTGAAGCCCTGTACACTAAGTCTTGGTCTGTTGCAAACAGTTCTGGTCAACATATCCCTGAAAAGGCATTTATAAATTAAATCTTAAGAGCACTTGTTAATTAAGCGCTGCTCTATCAATTAAGAAGAAATATCTGAATAAGCAGTAATATGTTATTGCACATTTTAAAGTACCGAGCTCTCTGTCTCTCACTAAAAACTATCAGTGTTTAAAAGAGAAAAAAAAAAAGCAAGAGGGAAAATATTTAACATTGCCCACAAAGTTAAAGTTCAAAGATGAATCATAAATTCAATGAGATTCACTCAAAGGCTGTCTATAATTTCACTAAAAAAGATTTCACAGAACAACCAACCTCTTTTTCTTGAGTAGATGACAGCTGCAGTTCACTTCATCAGTCCCAATAAGGGCAAAAGTGTCCGGGGTTTCTGTTCCACAAGCTAAATGTGGAAGCCCTCAAATGGCACCTACTATACTGCACTGGGAGGACAGCTCCACTTCCAAGGCATTTATGGCACACGTGCTTCAAAAATTGTTACTTTCTCAGTGGTCATGCTGCTCTAGCTCAATCTGTTAGTGCTCTTTGTGGCATGCCCATGCTAAGAGAGAAGTTCACTGCAGAGCAAAATTTAGTACTGCTGCACAATTAATATTGTGTACATTAAATGTGATTAGCCTTCAGACTAATTAGCTGAAACTTGATGCTTGTAAAAAAACCAAACAAACATCTGGTAAACTTCCGAATGTGTCTTATCAAAAATACAAGATTTGAAGGTCTTGGGCATGAATAACTTCCAGTTTTAAGCAAAATCGCTCTCATTTTCCACATAAAGGGAAATCAAGAAATACTAGGAACTTATTTTTAATGACCCAAGTTAGTGAGAACACCTTAGATAAACAATGCTAGTGAAACTCAGTGCTGAAGCACAGAACTAAGAAATTTACAGATCACAAATATATGGTACGGGTAAAATGTAGTCTCTCAAGCAGGCCGACAGGACCTATTCACCGCTTTAGTCCCACTTACCCCCTTTTGTGACTAATGGGCCTGGTTCCACTCTGATTCCTGCAGGTGTAAATCAGGAGTAACTTTACTGAAGTCAACAGTCATTTGAACATTTGTGCAGTATTAAATGTACACGTGTGTCCCCACTAGGCAGTTTTATGACCTGAATTAAGCCCTTTATTTTTAACCCTTAAAAATTATTATAACGGTTACAACAGCATTGAAGTGTAAGAAGACATTTTTTTACTCTCTCTTATATTTGGTCTCCATGATGCCAAAACCATAAATGATGATGCTATGAAGCAAGATAGATGACACCAACAGGCAGGTAATAAAAACAGGTTTTTAAAAGCCTTATGAAGGGTAATCATGGTGAGAAATGATTCTTTTACCTGTTGGATATTTTAACATGCTTAGCGTTTTTCCTGAAATCATAATACACAAATATTTCTTTCATGTATCATCCTCTCTAAGTGGAAAGGATGGTTCTCCCTATTTTAGGGCTTTTTATCCTCTCCCCCCCCCGCCAACTTTTAAGTAGTTAAAGCTCAACTGACCTAGGTTAGAGTACAATGCATATTATTGCTGTTTAGACTCACCTTCCCAAAGCTGGCAGCATTAACAGGCTGTGTGTCGTTTTTCTCACAGAAATCCAAGTAATGCATGTAGAGAGCGCTTCGAGGAATGCAAACTCCTTCTGCAATCTCATAGTTCTCCTCCAGCCTTAAAAAGCAAATTCCAAACAAAGAAAACTGCAAATATGTTGGCTGTCCTGTTTTGGAGGCAGCATGCAAACCTGCACATTTAAAGGGCAAACTATCTGACCTCTGCTTTTCTGCTAAACTCTGAGTGTTTTACTGACACCTCAACCTTGCAACTCACCCCATTCATCCATTTCATTTACCTGTTATAACCTGCCTGATATGTTGATTGTCAGTTCTTGCGGACAGAGACTGGCTTGTATGGATAAATCCACACCGTGCAGCATAGACATTGTTTCTGTCTAGTACAGTATACAACACAAGGAGGCCCTGATCCCTTAGGGAAGTTCCTAAGCGCTGTTTTGAAAATGAATAGGAATCTATCACAGCTTAAATGCATACCCAAACTGTATAACTACAGAAGTTTCTGAGAGACAGCATTCTTAAATGCTTTAGGTGATAAGTCTAGGCTAGGGTCACCGCTGGTAGCATGACACCTTTAAAATATTTTCACTTGTATTCATTTGCCTGATTCTTCACATAAAGGAAGTAGGTGCAGCCAACAGAATTTTTTGCATAAATATAAGGATGTACATGGCTCAAGTTTTGTTTAATAACTTCTTCCAGCTGCTAATTTGCAGCATAGTAATGTATGGGCTGAATGTAATAGTAAAATATCATCCTACTCTACCTCAGAGAAAATGATAGCTTCTGTGCAATGTATTTAATTTTAAACATGCATATAGGATATACTTACATTCTTCACCTTTAAAATTTGAGAGTCCTCACATGGATTGTGAGATAATGTTCTTTCGAAAGGGCATTTTCTGATTGTTGCGCTCTCCCAAATAAGAGAGTCCCCTAATTCAGGATGTTACTTAAGGACATGCCTAACTTTAAATCAGTGATCAGTCCATGGTGCTACTCACATGCTTATAGATCGGTAGGTGCATACATTCTTTGTTGAATGGGCGCAGAAACCGTATGCTGCATTTTGTTAATTACATTGCCAGAATCAACACGCACTTGGGAAACCTGGTTTTTTATTTTTTGTTTTAAACAAACACAGCCCATTAATTGGTTACCTGTAAAAGTTCAGATCTCTCCAAATAGCTAGTTGCTCTGTTTCATTAAATTTTTCATCACCTTCCCTCCATTTCAGCGATCGTGATCATTTGTGATTGCAAACTATTTTAATAAGATATCCGTCAGATGAATGGAATTGGTTTGTATGGGCAACATCTATTCTTCCTTGGTTTCTACAGGAATATCATCACGGCATCTTTCCCTCAAT